ATTTTTAATTTTTGAAAATCGTCAAAAATGACGGTTGACAATAAATTTTTTGCTCAAATTTTTTTGTATACTGCCTTGTACCAATCTTAATAGATCCTGAAATTTTTGGAACTGTGTTTTTTGTTTTTTCAAAAATATGAATTTTTGAAATTTGTTAAAAAAAATTTTTTTTTCTCATCATTATGCCCCTAAATGAAATTTCAGCTGTTAAAAATATCAAAATTACGCGATTTACCAAACTCAATTAAGACAAAAATAAAAAAATAAAATATTTAGAAAAAATTTTTTTATTAACAAATTTCAAAAATTGATATTTTTGAAAAAACAAAAAACAGTTCCAAAAATTTCAGGATGTTTTAAGATTGGTACGAGGTCATATACAAAAAAATTTTTTTATTTTTATCCTTTGACAGAACTTCGTTATATGATAAAAGAAAACTTCTGACCAAAATTTGTCCAAATCGAAAGGGGTCGATTCCAACTATTGGTCGATTTGACATGGAATGACCCATATATAATAATAATTGTCCTGTTAGTTAATGTAACAAATCATTTGAATTAATTACGAATTGTAAATTAATGAAATAACTTATCTTAATATTTGTTATTTTTCTGTTAAATAAAAAATTTGTTATTGTTATTTACAATTTTTTCGAATGGTCTATTTTGCCCTAAATCTATAAAATCAGCTAAAAATATGATTTTTACTTTATTAATCATGATTAGGTAATGAAAAGAAGATAACTTCTTTTTTAGAACTTTTTAGTGGCTCATTTTGGTTTTGTTTTCACGCGTAGGGTTAAAAATGCACCAATAATCCGAATTTGTGGTGATTAAAAAAAAATTAGAAAAATAAATTTTGGTCAATTTTTGAGGTGGGCCTTCTTGCCCCACCCTCCCCTATACAATTAATTGATAAGTTTTCTTTTAGCTCATTAGCAATAAATTATATTACAGTTATGATAGCAGAGATGGTGATAACAATTGTAATCATTTAAAAATTAAAAAAATATACTCCACTTTTTTAAATATTTTAAAATATCGAATCCCGATCGTTTATCTCAAATATAATTTTTACTTCCAATATTTGCATATCATTAACGTTAATAAGATAATACGCAAGCTACATCAATTGATTTCATGATGCTTATCATACATAAAATAATTAATAAAAGAAAAAAAATTCAATGTAATAAAATATTATCTGGCAGAATAATAAGACTAGAGTGATTAAGAATACTAAATTTTTAACTTCCTGCTAAGAAAATTGAAAATTAAAAAAAAATTGGGAAGTTATTAGTTTCATCCCGTTTTTCGAAAGTTGAGTTTTCATCAGATCTTAACGTTTTAAAGTCCTAGAATGCTTCGCTAACTATTCCCGCGGCGATGTCAAAATTTTACGAGATTTTTCAAAATAGCTCCAAAATTATAATTGACAACTAAATTTTGGCAATTGAATTTTTATATGATAATAAAAATATGAAAAATTCACGTGATAAATCAAATGACAGGTCTCGATGAGTTTAACGTTGAAATGGACTTATGTCTTAAAAAATGTCAACAATTAAGAAATGACATTTGTCCCGTCATATTAAAAACTAGAAAAATTACAGTTGGAAATAACATTGTTCTAAACTCAAACTTTGAATGTTAATTTTCAGTGCTTTCAATATAAATATATTACATTCTACAATGTAATTCTTATAAAATCTGTAATAATTACAATCTGAAACTGTAATTTTTCCAGTTTTCATCACGGAGAGCTACGTTACACTATATAATGTAATTTTTTTATTTTTCTTTTTTCCGTGTATCTAGAAGATAATAAGCTTAGGAAAACTGCATACTAACGGGAGCAATCGTATCGTGCATGGTATGACACTCGAATAGATCTCGACGGTTGCTATCCAGACTGCACAGAAAAAAAAGTCATCTTGAGTCAAGTAATATTTACTTGATCCAAGTATATTCAACTGAAGATAAAATATATTCTTAAGTTAAGTAAATTTTTTTCTTGTATTGGTCAATCTTGGTTTAAGCAAATATTCCCTAGTTCCAACAGGCTTACCAACTTAAGTGAAGAAAAAAACCTCTTAATCCAAGTAAATCATTCTCTTGGTTTTTGAACTTGCTTGATGTACACACGGGCGCATCGAGGCCCGAGTAGGACAGCAGCCGCGCGAAAACCCATTTTCAACATTAAATAAAAATTATTGTTTATGGAGCTAGAGTTCCGGGAGTCGAGACTTTTTTTCAGAAATTTCCTCCTCTTTAAGGATCTTTTTTCTGATTGTCGATATCACTTATAGTTATTGAGTTATTAACGCAACAAATTTCTAACCGTGTACTTTGTATGAGTCGAACAAATACTTGTATATACATATATTTTTGTCACTACACACTTAACTGTAAAGCAGTTATATAATGGGAAATCAGCACGTTAAAAATTAATCAAAAATGTCTAATTAAATGAACACAAAAAATAAAAATCATGCATATAGTATATTACATACCTAGGCCAGTAAAATAAGAAAAGTCTCAGACCACATGTAATTGTTGGCCGAGGCGAAGCTGAGCCGGAAAGTTGCCACTTTCCGGCCGGAGGGCAGAAAAAAAGTTTTCTGCTCGGCGCTAGCTACTGTATTGCAACAAGAGTATCATTACAGTGAAAAATGATTACGATTTCGAGGAAGAGCACTGACAAAGGCCAAGGTCTGCAAAAGACGATCACGGACATCCTTAAGGAGGAGGCCAAAGTGATTTGCAAAGGGCCACAGGAGACCATCGAGATCCGAGATATCGATGACGACACGACGAAAGAGCATATTCAGACCGCTCTAAAGAGGGAAGCTGGAGAAAGTTGTGAAATCC